CGCCCGCCCCAGCCCCGCCCAGCGTAGCCCTCCACCAATCGCACGGCGAAAAGCCTTCTGATTAGCATAGCCCCGCCCCTCGCTAGCTCCAGGCTTCTGCGCTCTCGGCCCCACCCCGAGTCTGCTCTAGCCAATGACAGGGCCGCCCGCTTAGCCTCGCCCACCCACCATAGAGAGGAAGGGCCTTGTGTGAGGCCCATCGTGCTTTCCGCCTCTATGGTTTATCCTCCAATAAGTTCAATGGTCCCACATTGAGAGAGGGCTGCTCCTTGCAGGGATCATAGAGAGAAGGGAGGACCATAGAGATGGGGCAGCCCCCCCCCCGCCCCTTGCTGCCCCAGGTCCCATGCACAGGGGCAGGGGCATCCCAGTGGTCCAGGCCGTGCAGTCCTTGGCATCAGTGCCAGGCCCTGTGCATGGGACCTGGGGCCTGCCTCTGCCTCTGCCTGGCCGTGTCCCAGCCACGCGGACATGTCCTACAGCAAGCTCTGGCACTCGCAGGAGCAGGCTGGTTTGGGCCGGGGGCCGACCAGGCGGCATCTTGGAAAAGACCCTGCCTTCCGAACCCACTCGATTAAACGTAGAGCCAGCGCCACTCCGGAGCGCAGCACGGCAGCTCGGCCCTGGGGCAGAAGCAGTAGCCAGGGCCAGGGGCAGATCCAGGATTTCCCAGATGGCGCTGGGGGTGCAAGAGCAGCAACCCCACCCCGAGCTCCTAGCCTCATCTGCCCCCACTGACGTAGGCAGACCGCCCTCAGGAGCCTCCAGGGTCTTGTTTTAAGTACCTAAAGCAGAAAATCCTCCCTTTCCTTCCCTTCCCCCACTTGCCATTGTTGCTTTCCCGCTGTTCTGGGGCCTGGGGAAGAATCAGCGTTGTTCCAGGGCTGGGGACGGCAGCAGCAAGACGGGAAAGTAGTTCCCCCCTCCTTGCCCCAATCCCTGGGAGCAGGCGCAGGGAAGGGGATCCCCACCCAACTGCGGCTTTTCCTGTCCGCAGCTGATGTGCAGCCCATCTGGGGTGGACAGGAACAGCTCTGGTGCTTCCCCCACACACAGGACAGTGGCAGGTAGGGAGGAAGAGGAAGGGAAGTGGATTTGCACCTCTTTTAAGAACTCAAAAAAAGTCCCTGGAGGCTCCCATTGCATGGTCCAATTTAAAAAGGAGGAGTACAGCCCTGTCACTGCACCCCCTCTGGATCCACCCCAGAAATGTCCAACCCTAGTTAGGTTTTTAATCAGTGAAAATGCATGTCTTAATGCCAGTCTTGCACCCAACAGCTGTGCAGATAGTGGCGCATCTGTGATGTGCTGCCGTCAACAGGCCACACCTGGAAGGAGGCTGCAGCATGCTGGTTATTCTGCAGCACCTTTTACTCCCTGGGATAATCTAACCTATAAACTCACACAGGGCATATTGCAGTGCTCCATCTTCAAAGGGGGCTAGGTACAACTCACTGTACAGGGGCCTCACAATAAAGAAGTGGTTGCAAAGGGCCAAACCTGTTCTGGGAAACAGCTCCTAGCACTCATCCCATGGCAGTTGAGGATCCACCACTCCCCCCAAATTATGAGAAGCAAATGAAGCTGGGAAAACCACCTCAGTTAGAAGGACAGTGCTCAGCCTTGCCAGATCCAGGAGGCTGGCACAACCTATTGGCATCCGCTCAGGCTTATCTGGACAGAGCATCAGCCATCGCGCTCTCATGCACGCCCTTAATCTCCATGCCGTGACAGTCGGTGATATTTGGATTCTCTTTATCTTTAGGGACACAAGTCAGTCTTTGTCAAGATGCTTTTAACTGGAAAAAATCCTTGAGGCCTGGAATAGAATTACATGCAGGTCTCATAGATAAGAATTCCCTCCCACGCAGAAAAACAAACCAAGGCCAGCCATGGTATTGGGCTGGGGCATGGGAACGAGGCTCAGGCTCCTTTTTACTCTGTGGGATACAGTAGTGGCTTTATGGGGTCCTTTCCTAGAGTTTTTCCTGCATTGTAGTCTTAAGCAAAACTCTTAAATCAACTGCTTTAAAAAGGGGGCTGGTTTTAGAGTACTGTAAAGCAGCTTCCTCATTCAACCCCTTCTTTTCAGTAGCAGCAAGACTCTGTCCCAATCACCACAGTCTCTGAAACAGTTCTGCTTTGGTTAATCCCTGCTTATGCTTGCCATTACACTGGGTTAGCAGCACCAGCCCAGCTATGCTTGCTGCTCCTACCCTTTATCAGGAATAGCATTTCTGTAGTGTAGCTAAGACTCCTGATTTAGCCTTTGCAGGAAGCAAACAGGCCCAAGGTCCAGTAGAAGCCACAAAACTCCCAGATTTCTTTTAAGAAAACAATGTGTGTGCTGCTAGGGAGACCCATGTGGGATGCAACAGACCTAAATCTAAAGGGTGAGGTTTAACCCTGCTTTCTGAAACAGGACTGAAAGGGCTTTGCTCTTGTTTCACTTGCAGCAAAACTATGCTTAGCAGCAGGTCAGCCACATCTGCTGTAACCCTGCGGGGAGAGGAAGGAAGGACGGAAGAAGGCAGATTTTGCTTTGTTATATCAGTGTAACTTCAGAGCTGCTCCACTCACTTCCAGACCAGTACAATGACTGCACTCTTGATAACGGCATTCTCCGTGTCTCTTAAAAAGACAAGTACCTTTTCTACATAAGTCTGTTCATTGCAAATTGTTATATTAAACGCCACCACCTTCCTGACATCTAGGTATCTTAGTTTCCACTGATTTTAATGGGAATTGATATAGTAGGGCTATCATAACATATAGGTCTGGTTAAGCTGTTGAACAACTGATAATAATAAGTGCTCCAAAATCCACCTTTGTACTCAGTTTGGTTTGAAAATTGCTCTGTTTCATGAGGGGGCAGGGATAGACCTATTGGTGCAAGTTTGCAGCTTTTTTGGCTCAAGGAGCTCCTCCAGTATAGGCCTCTTATGTAGGAACTTACAGGAAACCCTTGCTATTCGCAGGTTCAGCATTCGCAGTTTCAAATATTCACTAATGCCAAACCCACATCTTAAATGAACTTACAGGAGCTCCTCAGGAGCTCCGTGCTTGGGCTCCCGCCGCTGCCGGACTCCCGCCGTCGCCAGCGCAGCCGTGTCCCCCTCACCCCCCAGCCACCGGGGCACTGCGTTCATAAACAACGTTCAGACGACTTTCAGATGACTTTCACGAACGCAGTGCCGTATTCACGGATTTTGCCATTCACGGGGATCTCCAGAACGTATCCCCCATGAATTGCCTGTATTTTAATATTTAGATTACTCTAAAACCCGTGTGCATTGGGAAGCCTGTGCCAAAGACAGGCTCATCACAAGATAGCATTTGTAATACAAATTTGTACCATGTTGAGATCCTCATAGCTTCTGTGGTTCAGAGCTAGGGAAAATTCATGGCCCAGTCTTAGCATCTGTATTAACAAAGGTTTGCAGTAGTGATTAATAACAGTTCCCACTTTGCAATCTTTCCTAGTAATTCCCACCTTGAGTCTCAAGATGGCGATGTGTATATACCAGCAGTAACGAAAACCTATTGGAACCAGCCATTGCTATATGCCAGGGGCGGGCAAAATGCGACCCCAGGGGCTGGATGCAGCCTGCCAGGCCATTCTATCCAGCCCGCAGCACCCCTAAAAAATTTAGAAAATTAATATTAATCTACCTTGGGCTGCTGTCATGCGGCCTTCAATGGCTTTCCGAAACTCTGTAAGCAGCCCTCTGCCCAAAATAATTGTCCACCCCTGCTATATGCAGTAGGCCTGTGCGAAACGGCTAGTATTCACTTTGGATTCGCCCCATTCGGGGGGCAGCGATTCGATTCGGTGATTTGAATCACTGTGCTGAATTGATTCAGCCAAATCTGATTTGGAGATTCAACTGCTGCTGAATCTCCAAATCAGCCAGGCCCGGGCAGGACACCCATGGGGGGGGCTGGGGGAGCAGGCAGGGGATGGGGGCTGGCAGGGGTCTCCCCCACGGTCCTCTCTGCCCTCCCTCAGTCCCCTCTCCTAGTACTTACCAGCTCAGAGTCGGCAGGGACTCAGAGTCACCAGGGACTGCCCCGATCATCATCTCCGAATTTTTTCAAAGACCTCTGAATCTTCGGAATTGATTCAAACCTTTTAATTGGTCCTCTTATTCAATTTGGTGGAGATTTGGCCACCGAATCGGGCCAGATCTCCACCGAATTGAATCACCACCAGAAGTTTCGCACAGCCCTAGTATGCAGTTTAGAAGTACTCAGTGGCTGATCAGAATATCATTTTTAGCACATGTTATTTAGCACGTGTTAATGGGGGAAAAAAACTGGCTTCATCTGTCCTGAGGATTCCTCTCCCACCAAGTGGTTGTCAGACCCCTCCTTTCAGAACAGCGCTGCAATATATCTAGTAGCACGGGGTGGTAGGATGAACCTCTCTCTCTGCTGCCTGAAAGCACAACTAACGCAGAGCTAAAACTCCCCTATCTCTGCTGCCAGGAGCACCATTAGCTTTAAATATTTAAATGTAATTTGGCCATTCATATTAATTAAGCATTAAATCGCGGGGCCATCAAAGATATAGGTGGAAAGGGCTCACAGGATCATCCTGTCAGTGTCTCCTCCTGTTTTGGATTATTCCCTGCAAAAAACATTTGCTTGGATGAGTATTTTTTCCTCCCGTCTCTTCAGAATGGCTTAAATGGACTGGCCAAGCAAAGGCGTAGAATCCACTCACATCCTAAAGCTGGGACCTTTTTTAGGCCACCATCGTGGTTCTTACCTGCACAGCCTCACATGAGCTTGGAAGTGCAACTGATTGTCCTTTTGCTCTTTCTAAGAGTGAAGCCAATGGATTCGGACCACGGAGAGCTGGAAGGAGGGTGACATTCACTCTTATACTTCAGGCCAAAGGCTTTTAAGCCTGGTGCTGTCCCTGTGCTATTTCACTCTCAGGCCTCCAGCTGGCAAGAGGTATTCCCTGACAGTAAAGTAGAGATCACATATACTAGCAACTAAAGTATAACCCTTCCCACATTCACAATCCAGCCCCATGCCATCACCAGCACACCCAGACCTTATTCCTTCACTTCAGCTGTAAGCTTGGCTGAGGGAGGAGTGATGCAGGATTTGACCCATAACCAAGAATACTGGCCTTGGATGTAGCTTTCTAGGACCGAGGACAGAGAGAACATTAGTGGCCATCTAGGCTGGTTTGCAAGAGGTAATTTGACTGAAATACAGAGGCTGGATGTTCTGCTTTCTTGCTGATGGAGCATGGCTCTTTCCCATTAGCCACATGGCAGATGAGGTGTTAGGAACAACGGGTGCCACCACGGTCCCTTATCTACAGCAACCTGGCCTTTCCTTAATGTGAAATATGAATCCATTAATGTCAACAAATCAAAAGAGTTTCTTGGCAGAGAGCCCAGAAGAGGAATTTTCTCTTTGCTGCACATTTTCAAGTGCTTTGAGAGAGGCTTGGTACAACGCGGGCTGCCCTCTACTGCCCTGCCCTTTGCCAAGGTCACTGGAGCAATGGGTGGCTCTGC